ATTTCTGACAACGGACTAAAACCATAGAGGAAATTCCGTTGAATTAATTATTTGGGGTATTTTCACTACATTTGTGCTTCAAAGGTATTTTTCCAAGTACAGCAACCGAAAATAATGTTCTACCATGGGGTATCTGCACGGGAAGCAGACTGGGAAAAATAGGTCGGCATTATCCTGTTATTAGCATCGCGATGCTAATAATTTTTGACGTTATTTTACGTAACGTCAGAAGCGTTAAATGAGTTAATTTTACAATATTTAATGATTTTAAATTATTGGAAGTAATATTTAGAGGAAAAAAATAATTTAAATACCATCAAACTAATTCGCACCGCGATGCTAATAACAGGAGTATATATAGAGAGACGACGTTTCCAAATATCAAGATTATAAGCTCCACAAAGGGAAGTATTCCCGGGAAGAGGGTTTCTTTGGGGGATACCATCAGAAAAAATGGGGCTTGGCTTTTTTGGGGGGATCACTCTTAAAATGAAACGTTTTAATGAACAAAATACCTCCAAACTAATTAGCATCGCGATGCCAATAACAGGAGCATATATAGAGAGACGAGGGACATTTAAATACCTGAAAACTAATTCGCACCGCGATGCTAATAACAGGAGTATATATAGAGAGACGACGTTTCCAAATATCAAGATAATAAGCTCCAGAAAAGGGAAGTATTCCCAGGAAAAGGGTTTCTTTGGGGGATACCATCAGAAAAAATGGGGCTTGGCTTTTTTGGGGGGATCACTCCTAAAATGACACGTTTTAATAAAAAAAATACCTCCAAACTAATTAGCATCGCGATGCCAATAACAGGAGTATATATAGAGAGACGAGGGACATTTAAATACCTGAAAACTAATTCGCACCGCGATGCTAATAACAGGAGTATATATAGAGAGACGACGTTTCTAAATATCAAGATTATAAGCTCCACAAAGGGAAGTATTCCCGGGAAAAGGGTTTCTTTGGGGGATACCATCAGAAAAAATGGGGCTTGGCTTTTTTGGGGGGATCACTTTTAAAATGACACGTTTTAATGAACAAAATACCTCCAAACTAATTAGCATCGCGATGCCAATAACAGGAGTATATATAGAGAGACGAGGGACATTTAAATACCTGAAAACTAATTCGCACCGCGATGCTAATAACAGGAGTATATATAGAGAGACGACGTTTCCAAATATCAAGATTATAAGCTCCACAAAGGGAAGTATTCCCGGGAAAAGGGTTTCTTTGGGGGATACCATCAGAAAAAATGGGGCTTGGCTTTTTTGGGGGGATCACTCCTAAAATGACACGTTTTAATGAACAAAATACCTCCAAACTAATTAGCATCGCGATGCCAATAACAGGAGTATATATAGAGAGGCGAGGGACATTTAAATACCTGAAAACTAATTCGCACCGCGATGCTAATAACAGGAGTATATATAGAGAGACGACGTTTCCAAATATCAAGATAATAAGCTCCAGAAAAGGGAAGTATTCCCAGGAAAAGGGTTTCTTTGGGGGATTCCATCAAAAAAAATGGGGCTTGGCTTTTTTGGGGGGATCACTCCTAAAATGACACGTTTTAATGAACAAAATACCTCCAAACTAATTAGCATCGCGATGCCAATAACAGGAGTATATATAGAGAGACGAGGGACATTTAAATACCTGAAAACTAATTCGCTCCGCGATGCTAATAACAGGAGTATATATAGAGAGACGACGTTTCTAAATATCAAGATTATAAGCTCCACAAAGGGAAGTATTCCCGGGAAAAGGGTTTCTTTGGGGGATACCATCAGAAGAAATGGGGCTTGGCTTTTTTGGGGGGATCACTTTTAAAATGACACGTTTTAATGAACAAAATACCTCCAAACTAATTAGCATCGCGATGCCAATAACAGGAGTATATATAGAGAGACGAGTGACATTTTAAATACCGCAAAACTAATTCGCATCGCGATGCTAATAACAGGAGTATATATAGAGAGACGACGTTTCCAAATATCAAGATTATAAGCTCCACAAAGGGAAGTATTCCCGGGAAAAGGGTTTCTTTGGGGGATACCATCAGAAAAAATGGGGCTTGGCTTTTTTGGGGGGATCACAATGAAACGTTTTAATGAACAAAATACCTCCAAACTAATTAGCATCGCGATGCCAATAACAGGAGTATATATAGAGAGACGAGGGACATTTAAATACCTGAAAACTAATTCGAACCGCGATGCTAATAACAGGAGTATATATAGAGAGACGACGTTTCCAAATATCAAGATTATAAGCTCCACAAAGGGAAGTATTCCCGGGAAAAGGGTTTCTTTGGGGGATACCATCAGAAAAAATGGGGCTTGGCTTTTTTCGGGGGATCACTTTTAAAATGACACGTTTTACTGCTTAAAATACCTCCAAACTAATTAGCATCGCGATGCCAATAACAGGAGTATATATAGAGAGACGAGTGACATTTTAAATACCGCAAAACTAATTTGCATCGCGATGCTAATAACAGGAGTATATATAGAGAGACGACGTTTCCAAATATCAAGATTATAAGCTCCACAAAGGGAAGTATTCCCGGGAAAAGGGTTTCTTTGGGGGATACCATCAGAAAAAATGGGACTTGGCTTTTTTGGGGGGATCACTCTTAAAATGAAACGTTTTAATGAACAAAATACCTCCAAACTAATTAGCATCGCGATGCCAATAACAGGAGTATATATAGAGAGACGAGGGACATTTAAATACCTGAAAACTAATTCGCACCGCGATGCTAATAACAGGAGTATATATAGAGAGACGACGTTTCCAAATATCAAGATTATAAGCTCCACAAAGGGAAGTATTCCCGAGAAAAGGGTTTCTTTGTGGGATACCATCAGAAAAAAATGGGGCTTGGCTTTTTTGGGGGGATCACTCTTAAAATGACACGTTTTAATGGATAAAATACCTCCAAATTAATTAGCATCGCGATGCCAATAACAGGGGTATATATAGAGAGACGAAGAACATTTTAATACCCCAAAACTAATTCGCATCGCGATGCTAATAACAGGAGTATATATAGAGAGACAACGTTTCCAAATATCAAGATCAAAAAGAGAGAAGATTACAACTTTTTTTTGGTTTCACAATGCATTCAGTTATCTTAAAAGTGTAGTAGACGATCGTGATGAGCGACTCTTTAATGTTCTATCTGTACTGAAGCGTGCGGGATTTCTTTACACTGTCACGCAACGTACAAACAAAGGACTTTTACTTCCTAACCTGTTCTGGAATACATTGTACAATGAAATCCGTGCAGAAATAAAATATCCGATATGAAAATTTTAAATATGTTACTTTATGAATGAAATTGATCAGAAAAAGAATAAATGAGAGTACTAAAATGTATTGTGCATTTACATGTAATAGCAATGGATAGCTTTTATTCCATATATGAAGACATTAAACGGAATAAAGTGCATACCATCCGGGGTATATTGAATTTTGAAAGTTTTGTTTTTGAAGACCTTGGAATTTATTCCGTTATCAATTATCTCAACTTATTTCTACATAACGGAATAAAGTGCATATATTGATATTTGATAGTTTGTTTATGAAGACGTTTATTCCGTTAAATTTTGATAGTTTGTTTATGAAGACATTTATTCCGTAATATATTTATGTCAACTTATTTTTAACGGAATAAAGTGTATATATTGAATTTTGCAGTATAGTTTTGTTTGTGAAGACATTTATTCCGTTAAATACATTTATCTCAACTATTTTTTTTATAACGGAATAAAGTTCATATATTAAATTTTGATAGTTTTGTTTATGAAGACATTTATTCCGTTATATATTTATCTCAACTCATTTATAACAAAATAAAGTACATATATATTGAATTTTTTAGTTATATAATTTATAGTTTTGTTTATGAAGACATTTATTCCGAATTATAAAAAATGCATTTTTTTTTTATACCGTACTTGAGAATAAGGTTATTTCAAAAAATATCACGAAAGTAACCATGCGGAATTGTATTTCGTTCCTCTGTCAGACATGACTTATGTATTTATAAGCCGATGACAGAGAGTGGGAATTAACGGAATAAGCATAAAATCCATAAATATTAATGTTTAAAGACTAAATTTTTAATTCTAAGCTCTCAAAATTATAATTTTATTTACGTCAACAACGTCAACAACGTCAAAAATTATTCGCATCGCGATGCTAATAACAGGATAATGCCAATAGGTCGAAAATACAATACGGTCGAAAATAGGATACGAGACGATAGTTATTCCCTAATTTAAACATTAATTCAATAAAATCAAGGGAAATTATGAACATTTACCAAGTAACATATTATGCGCGAACGGACTTAGTGCGAACAATTCTCAGAGAGTACGGACTCTGGGCGAACGAGAGTAAGAGCGAACAGCGTCAAGGGTGAACGCGTTTTAGGGCGAACGAACATACAACCGATGTGCAATATATCGAGGAAATTCGAGATCTTCAACTTACCCACATAGCGTATTCACCCCATGGAAACCTAGGCCTACCGACTTGAATATCAGCACCATAGTTTCGGGCAACCTGACGATTTACTGCATTTCTAACGACAGGTTGAGACCTTACAACTGTGTTTTTTAGTAAACCAAACATATTTTCGTTGACCCTGTGATATTGATTCGGTCAAACTCAAGTTACTTGCCCTTGAGAGAGGAAGTAATGGAATACAATTATTCGGATATAATTGAATTAAAAACATTTGCGTTTGAAAGGGTTTTCCTTTTTATTATTGTACCTGCATTGAAAAAATATTCTAATTACTTCATGTGTAAAAAACGAAGCAAATATATTTATTTTTGAAACACTAAATTATTATACCATTTTTTAGCACCCACCGTATTTATCAGATTTGTTTTTTTTTAATTATCTTTGAAAAATAAATAAAATAATTTTTTAAAATTATTTTTTGATCAAAATTATAATCTTGATTTATTTATCCTGAAATGTTTTTCGACAAAAATAGAAAATAACAATTTGTCGTCTACATTTTTTATTCAGTGCGGGATAGCTACTAGAAAATGTCAAAGTTGTGTGACTTGGTCATGGGAACTCATTTTAACTCAAACAGGTGTGAGTAGCCCCATTTAGTTGTTTTTAAATGGTTTTTTATTGTACCTACAACATATGCCAATAAGCAAACATTCATATACTATTCATGAATCGGGGGTAAAAGTAGCATTCGACGATTTTGATAAGTTTACTGACATTCATGCTATATTTGTATATTTGTATATATCTTGTTTTGTATTTCATGGTGCATCGATATTATTGATAAATCGCAGGTAACATGTATTTTCTATGATTATCATTTGATGCGTTAATTTTTTATCATGAACTAATGCATTCAGTCATGTAATGATCGTATAGTTATTATTGTACAATGGTACTGGTACATGTAGTGATGTACATAAATTTTATATGCCTTCTATATAGGGTAATTTGACCAATGTATTGTATATAAAATACTATAATATTTAATGGAGTGAATTGAATTAAATAGCCAATAAAACTTAAAATATGCTATCATTACTGAGATCTGCCAGTCTGCCTTTTTGTACAAAGATTTAAGTAGTTCCGAATTGCAACTTAGAAAACGCTCGGTTCATTATTTGCATGTAGGACTTACACTTGATTTCTAATATCTGTATCAAATAGACCTTTATCTACCTTTTCAACCTTAAAGACATTTTGTGTACACTATATTATGAAACTTTCCTGCTTTAAATATGCTTGAATTCAAGCAGTTTCACAAATTTCAAATTTCAAGTTAAGTTCTGGTTATTGCCATCCCTAGGTTGTGTAGATTCAAGTTTGTTCAAACCATGACCCCTGGATGTGGGATGGTGCCACCATGGGTGCTCAAAGTTTATCATTGGAATATATAAGGAAAATCTTTCGAAATCTTGATAACAGCAAAGCTGTGATTGGTCATATTCATACTTTTCAACGCTAAACTGATTATTTTTCAGCCTTTTCCTAACCAGTGTGCTCATGTGAGCGATGTTGCCCCTTGGCCTTTTGTTTAAACTCTTTGACAAACACTCTGTTATCTGCATTTACATTTATTGTACCTATTGTACTAAACTATTCACAATTGATAAAAAAAAAGCATAAGTACATTAATTATTGAATAATTTTGGGTATTGTATCATAATATAGATTAGGCCTAGAAAAAAAATATGTTTGTTTCCGCTTTCCCGACCGACCCTAATTTATAGTGCCGACCCTAAATATTTTTTTAATGCTTTTGTTCCATGATGTGCAAGATTTCACCCAGGGAATTATAGTTTCCAACTTTGCAAGCTTTTCAAGACAGACAGAAGTTTGGGTCACCTTTCTATTATAATTTAAGTCACAGTAATGCTTAAAAACACCATTTCTTTTGTCATTAATGTTACTTCTGTACATGTTTTGATTAAAGAAGGAAAAAAAAAATTTCCAAAAAAAAAAAAAAATGCCTACCTACCTACCCTATATTTTTTCAGCCTGAAAGCGGAAACAAACATATTTTTTTTCTAGGCCATATGATACATTTTACATTATGATACTTATACTTTCAGTGATGTTTTTAAATTTTTTTGTATTTCTCAAGTTTATGTAAAAGCAAAGATAAACTTAAAAAAAGACAGGCTTTCAGTGGAGGAATTTGGAGAATTTAAACAGATTTTTGTAGCTTTTCTTGCTGCTCACTTTTTGACAGTTAGTGCATTTTCTTCTGATAGAATGAAGAGCATTTTGACTCATTAGTTTAAAAAAAATCATATCAGAGTTTGTGTGAAAATTGTTTGACATACAGAGAATTCTCATTTAAAGCAAGTGATTAAGATTCAATGTAAAAGATTGTTTTTATGTAAATGGAGAGGAAAAAGATGTAAAATGGGCCATGACATGCATAATTTACTTTATATTTTGTGAAAAAAAGAAGAAAGAGTAACTCAAATTTGAGATATAATTATTTAAAATATTGATTTATTTACTACATTTTACTGGTAGAAGGAAGGGTGTTTCAAGTTATCAAGGAAGAGGCATGTAACATCTGTTTTATATAAGATAGGAAAATACACACATGGACTATCCTATAAACAATGTAATGATGTATAGTCCTGTGTTCCTGAAAGAGAACTAGTGTGTTTTTTAAATTTACTGTAGATATTTCCAAAATATCTTTGTACAGTACAGTAATTAAACACTGGACATAGTCATTTGATAATTATCTGGTAGAATGAGAAGGTAAAGTCTTGTGTGTTCATTTTAATTTCAAACAATTGTAGTCCTTAAAACATTTTGGGACTATAGGGTTGAACACCTATCATTACAAAATTGAATTGAACAATGTATGCATTAAGGTTATACAATGTACTTTTGAAATAATTAAGGCATAGTACTGATCCTTGCTTCAAAGTTGTGTAACTTAATATTTGAAAACTACAAAATTCAATAAAGTGCACATTGAAATTCTCTAAGTCTCTTTGTATCAATTATAAATTACAACAGGTTACTGATTTAAACCAAATACAGGTAAAAATAAAATTTTCTATGTGATATGTACCATAATAACACATATAATGCTCAACTAGGTGGCTGTTTCTTTGTTTTCTTTGGTGTTTTAATTTTTATTTTTGACATTGTTGGGGCATTTGCAGTTGAATATATACATATTATGCAAAATATGATGTGTATTGTGTTAGCATAAAAAAAGGAATTTTTTTTTTGAATTCATAAAAAAATATTGATATTTGACCGGAGGAATTAAGCAAACAGTTCCCATGCATGGAAAGAAAATGTTCATTTTGTCACTCCTAAAAGGGATTTGACTTGTAGTGTCAGTGTTCTTGTTCTGCTTTTGTAATAAAAGATACTTGAAAAGGGGCCAAGTTATGAATTTGATATTAAATGTTGCCAAAGCTTACATTTTATGCAGCGGAATTGAATTTCAGTAGACTACAATTGTAAACCTTTCAATTTTAAAGGTGAATCTTTGTAGACAAACAATGTTGGTGGAAACCTCAGTGACTTGTGATGCATGCATGGAGAAGGTTTTACATTTCTGACTTCTATAACTTAGGTAAACTATCCAGATTGACATGAAAAAGTAAGCTAATGGAATGCTGACTATATTTAGACATATTTAAAATTTATAGTATATTAACTAAGATTTGATAATTATAATTCATGTTTTTGATGCCATTATTCATGGTTCTTGTATAGAATATCTCCCTGTGAAATGAAACCCTTGTGGTCTGTGAAAATGCATTTTTTGTGAAAAGGAAGTCCTATTTCTGTGTCAGTCTTGGTATTGAGATGGTGCTTGCACTAAATCAGTGCATGCATTGTTGAAGGTTTGTTGTAATTGAATCTTTTAATATGATTTAATTAAGAGCCATTTCCCAGCCCTCCCTTCCTGCAGGCCATTATTATAGAGTTCCTGTCTCATATATCCCAACTGAAAGAAAACCTTAATATGCAAATCAAGAACTTTCTAACTTTCAAAATTGCGAGCCGAGACGTAATATAAGCTTTTTATGTTTTAGAAAAATATTGGTTGTGCAATGTCATTAGAATTATTGGATTATAATGAAGAAATAAACTTGGCCTATTGTTAAGGGATTAAGGTCTGATCCCGTGACAGCCTGTTGTCTGTGGGTCTGTAGTTCTTATCCTGTAGTGGCGATTCTTTAAATGAACAGGTGGATTTAGTTTTTACACTCACTAAGTGACTTAACATGATATTTCAGTGAACATAAATGCAGTGCACTATGTATGTTATAAAGTTCTAAGAAAAACAAAAGTAAAACATTTTCAGTTTCTGTGCTTTGTACTGTAAGCATGGTAAGTGGATTGCATAGAGTACTTTTTATTACTCATTACTGGTATGTGATAATGCTTACATGTTTGAGATGATATTTTAATCTCGTTTCTGAAATAGGATTATTTCCTTGTGCAGTCTTATTTTGATTTTTTTTTTGTTCTTCACAGTTCACACACAGGGGTTAATTAAGGTGTTGAACATGTTCAGTCCCCTTATTTTGTTAAAACTTAACAGATCCATGTAAAGAAAGATCTTAAAAACAGCAGGAGAAAAGGGAATGAAATACAAATTGCAAAAATGTTCTTAAAAGTCTAAATAAGCTTTAACATGCTTAGGCATTTGAAATATTAATTATGACATTTAGACTTGGTTGTATGTTCATATGCTAATTTTTCAAGTATATTTCCAGTTTTTTAGTACATGTATGTATAGGATACCTATATGTCCATAATCTTAATCTTGCTGTTTTACACCATGTGTGGGAAGAAAATTTGCATATTTTTTTATCAACTTTCTGCATTGATGTGGCATTTTATCCATAAGGAAATGATTGATGTGTCATGTTCAATTTTACATTTGCTATTTGAATACAAGGTGCATTGTGGTACAATGAAAACCAGTTAACTACACAAAATTCATAGCGCATTTCACATCCTCTTAAAGTTACAAAATCGTTTCTTTCAATGTATCTTTTATTCACAGGAGAGTTTTGTAATGTAAAATAAAAATTGTAATTTTAGAATGGATATGATTCAGATTTTTTATGATGATAAAAATGTGTTTTTCCAGTGTTTTTCCAGTAGGGGAAGTTGAAATGTTTTTAGGGAATAAGTGTTGTTGTATGAATATTTGGACATCTGTTTTAACACTGACAAGAGAAATTTGAATCTAGTGTATGTATCTTTGCTGATTTGGATAAACAGTGTAGTAACCTCAGGAATTTACATTTTAAGGCTGCAAATCTTAAATTCATCAATTTCTTGTTTTGTATTTTCAGAAGATGGAAGTGAAAAGACAATGGAGTAATGTTAAAAGGAGACAAATGACAATCGATTCCCTTTGAAAACAAAAGACATGGGGACTAACTCCTCATTCCCTGAGGGGTCTCCCCCTGGAAGCAGAATCTCTGCCTTCAACAGACAGACTCATGGATACAATTTGTCTGATTCAGACCTAAGTGCCAGGGAAAAGAAAAAGAAAGCTTCAAAGTTAACAACACTTAGAAAAAGGCTCATTCGATCCAGGCGACATAGTCGCTCAATGGATTATGGGAAAGCTTTACGTGAAATGATAGCAACATGGTCAATTCGAGAACTCAAAGCTCTCATTCAGGAATATGAAGTGTTGGTGGCACTTAAGGAATTAGCTGTGGCGGCCAATCTTGCTAGACCTGCCGCAAATTCTTTGAAAAAGGATTTAGCAGCGTTGTTTGATTCTAAATGTTGTACAGATATTGACCTAGTGTATAAGGGAGCCTGTTTCCCTGCTCATCGTGCTATACTATCAGTGAGGAGTCCTTATTTTAGGGATCTGTTAAATCGGTACCCAGGGGTGGGCTGTCAGGTGCCCGTCAAACTACGTACTATTGGAGTGGATGTTGCGTTATTTGCTACAGTATTGCGATTTCTCTACACAGATGAAATCAATTCTCATGATCTGCGTCCAGAACATCAGGAGACTTTGGCCAAGTTGGCAGAGGAATTTGGTGTTCCTAATGCTTTGGAGCATGATCTGAGAGTTTTATTAGATTCTGGGAACTATAGTGATGCTGTACTAGTGTTCACGTGTGACGGAAACTGTACAGACTCGTCCTCTGAGAGTGAAGCTACATGTAAATCTGTGCTACACGAACTAAGGTGCCATAAAGCAATATTGGCGGCTAGGTCACCATTTTTCAAAAATCTTCTGATCCGAAGAGCAAGATCAGGGGAGGATCAAGGTTTAAACACACAATCAAAAATAGTGCTAGATGAGACAATTATTCCGCGGCGTTATGCCAGAGTGCTGTTAAACACTATATACCAGGACAATGTAGACCTGTCCCTGATATTGAGGGGTAGTGCTAGCATGTGCAGTCTGAGTGAGGTACAGGCGATTGTGGCAGGGCGGGGGCAGATGACACTGATAGAGGAGGCAATGGAGGTTTACCAAATAGGGCAGTTCCTGGATTTCCCTGTTCTATCTCAAGGTTTGTACCCAAGTTTTACAATATATAACGTACAAATGCTTTTCTTCATTTACAAAATGTTCTTAATGTGTTGAAGCATTTGTCACTCATGATCAATGAGGACAAACTCAGTATATCTGTATATTGTTATGATAAAGATGGTCCCCATGTTTGTATAGTTTTACACGATATGACTAAGGGATTGTTGTGTGCATGTTTTTGTTAAGCAATATTCAGATACAGTATTGCTGTAAAAAGATGCAGAATTTTTTTCCAGATTATAAATATACATGTATATAACATCATTTATAACAACTTGCTATTGATTTCTATGATTATTTTTAATTTCAAGTATGGAAATGAGGATTCTTTCTTTAGCATTTCATATTGTATTTCTTACATGTATCAGGCAGTAATAACATTTCAGTGTTTTAATAGTTTTGATGTACTTTTATTTAAGGTTGTGAGGATATAATCGCGGAGGGTATTTCCCTGGACAATCTGATAAGTGTGTTGTCATGGAGCTCAGAACCCCACGGGTCAAAGTGGGTCCATAACCAGGCCCTCCATTTCATCCGTGAGGAATTCCTTCAGGTTGTTCACTCCTCAGTCCTCACTGAACTGTCCAGAGATATAAATGTGTCAAGGAGGCCCTGGCCTTAATCAAATATTGAAAATATGTAACACAAAATTTTTACAGGTAAATGAGAGCCGAACATAAATCTAGTAGGAGTTTTTATTTATTTCAGTGCCAACTTTGATAAATATTTGATCAATTCCTCTCTCGCTCTCTAAGCCTCTCTTGAAGTAATGTGAGAGCAATCATTATGGAAAGAATCAATTGTTTGCAGATCTGGTTAGATGAATATATTGTAACATTTAATGTGTCAAAATTTGAGATATTTATGCACCACCATTTTTATGGCTGGAGCTGCATACTGTAAATCAACTTTTATTATATCTGCAAGCTTATAAATCTTCTTTTACTTGAAAATATTTCTCACTGAGAAGCATTATTTTAGTTGAGTATCTATGTAGAATGTTGCCCTAGTTGCAAAAACTAATTGCTGCAGGTGAATTTCAAAGCAACAATAAATTATAGTAAGTAAAAGTTGTCATGGGTAATAGTTGTTTTCCAGATAGTGTTTTCATGTCTGTCTTCTGTCATTCTATCTTCCATTTGCCAATACATCACACTTTGCTTTAGCTCAAAATGCTCAATAATGCCTCAATTTCAAACTTGTGACTTGACTTCATTTTTTGTCATTTTATGTTTACCATAACTTTTGAAGAAACTGATCAACATTTCAAACTTCACAAATCAATACAAATTCATTAGAGAAATTCAAATTCATAAAGTAGACCCAAAGTGTTATTGCTGCTAATACAGATTATCCTTATTTTTTTTTATGCTAATCATGCAAAAGGCTGAGGATGACAATTCATGGACCCAAATAGTGAATAAATTATAAATAATTAAGATTTACTTTATTACCTTTTATATTACCTTTTAAATAAATATACCTGATTAAGCTTTTATCAGTGACAGAAATAATATGACCATGATGACAATGACCTTGAAAAGGTCATTTTACATGATGAGATATATATTTTATCTGCTTGTTGTGTGGTGTTCAGGGGAACACATTCTCTCTATAGGTGGTACATAACTTTCTCCACAGCCAAGATTTTTTTCCTCAGCATGTACATTGTACATTTTTATATAGTTCCAGAGGTTGTTGACTAGTATGAAGGTTCAGTCACCTATTTATTACCAGAAATATCAGTCTTCTCCTGTAACTCGATATGTGTTGTCATTATTGTTCAGTTCTTATGATTAGAACTTCTCATTTACAGCAATCATAAAATCACTAACTCCATTATACATGTAACACTGTTCTTCAACTTCTTGCTGTGCGTTATTGAATATGTTTATTGATTACCAGAAAAGAATTGGGTACTTCAGAATTGTATCAGCTTACAACAACTATAGTTTCTATACACTTGTGGAAAACTAGCAACTGTTTACATATAAAGCATGGATTCAATTTTGTTAATTATTATAGCAATTAAATAAATTTTCAGTCTCAACAAACATATAATTTGCAGATTGCATGATAAAGTTGGGTTGTTGAAAAGCAGAATGAGTTAGCGTAAAGCTGTGCTTATTTTATAGGTTTAGTATATATTAAGTAAAACTCTTGTATTGCTTCATTGTAGGCAGGTGAACTGGAGATTCTGTCGGCCATTATCAAGTGGGGAGAGAACCACTTAGTGAAGAGACTGGAGGAAAGAGGTAATTAACATCTTGGAGAACTTTTAGCTCCAGTTTTACATTGTTACACTTAAATCATATACATCAGACATGTTATGATTTGTTCATTTTGGAAAATATTAAGAATATTGAAGAAAAATGATCTCTGTTGATCACACTGTAAGTAGAAGACAAGGCAAGTTAAATTACATTGAACAGAATTAAGAGAGTCTCTCACAACTGCCTTTGATTTATAGACATTTTAATTTTATTAATGTCTTTCCCAGAGCCCAACTTACTTAGCCATACAGCACACAGCATCAGTAAAAAGGGTGTGAAGAAACGCGATCTCAATGATGAAGAGTTAAAGGATATTCTCTCAGATTTCCTGTGCTTAATAAGGACAGATCATATCCTACCCCATAACAGTGATGTTCTTAACAGTGCAATAAAACGAGGGCTTGTCAGTCGACCGCCCAGTCACATGATCGGAGATGAGGGGTTTGTAGTGCCGTCGTCTTCCTGGATACGAGGGAAAAACAATGGCATGTTTGTTAGGCCCCGATTGTTTGGTCCATATTATGAAGATGCTAAGGTACTTAAAGTTCACACTTAAATAATAAAGGAAGTGATATATAATTTCTTTCTTGAATTAGAGTTTTATTTTTTTTGACATAAAAATGAGAATAAATAAATTTGATATTGGAGATTTCTTGCCACCTATCTACCGGTACTTTCAAAAATATATCTGAAAAAGAATTGCTAATAAGTGTTTTCGTTGAAAATAATTTGAACATGTTTTGACTATAGGCAGTACTGGAGGAGCGCCTCTCTCAGGGTCAAGATCATGAGTCGGGTCGGGTCAGAACGATTCAGATGTCCTCCATACCAGACACACTGTACATGGTCGACAACAGCCAGTATCCCAGCAACTACGTCAACCCTCCTAGCTGTAACACGGTGGATATCATAGCAGGAACCATACCAGGTATCTCAGTCTACAAATCTGTATCTTCATAGGTCTGTTAAAAAGGAGGTAAAATTTACACATTTAAATAATAAATCTCAAAATTTATACAGATTTTTAAATTTTGAGTTTGATAATTGATATACATTCCAGAAAGTAATGTATTGCATAAACACCGATCATAAATGCAGAAGACATTGAAAATTACATAATGTACTTGAAGTTATGCTTAACAATTATAATTTTCTTTCCTTCAGTACCTGATAATGCCACAATACACAGAATGCTACACAGAGAAAGAGAATTACAAAGTAGTCCCACTGCCCAGAGAGCTCTAACCCTGCCATTAAGTGATCGTCGGGCCGTCTCCTACCAGCTTCGGCTGAGAACAGTCCGGGAGTTTGGACTGCCAGACTCAACAGTAGAGGTATTACAGAACACGACATCTTACTACCCACCCGATCCACTACCTCCAGCTCTCCCAGCTAAAACACATTCACTGAAAAAGTACCTGATATCTCCACGAAGACGGAAGCAGAGCCCTCCTCTCAGCAAGAGGACCCCCTTGGGGAGCCCCACCAAACCTGTGCAGTGTGTTCCTCCCACTCGCTTATCACAAGGGGCCTCAAGAGAGGTAAATTTTATAAATCTAATATGCATTGATGATTTTTTTTTTTTTATCTTTGTTTAGATCACAAATTTGGTTACTTGTATTCATGTGGTTATTAAAAATAATGCTGCAAAACTATATTGAGGTCATTTATAAAATGTTCTAAACTATTGTACTTTATATATAGGAAAAGAGGAATAACTCTTATCATACCTGTACATCATTATTTTCCTTCTTTTTAGACTGACTTGAGTCCGTGTAGTGACAGTGCCTTAAGTGACACCATGCCAGACATAGCAATGGCATCAGCCTCACTCAGTCAGATCAACCTTCAGGATGAGTTTGACCTTGACATTGGAGATAGAGGGAGTCACCATGGGACACTGTACATTTGATGTATACCTGTGTCACACGACTGGGATTGTTTTTGTCTTATTTATTATTACAGACTAGAGTTACCACCTCAGTGTTATTTATTATCCAAAAGATTTCTATTTTTATTCTTTGTTGTCACATATCAGAACATTTCATTACATGTGTAGCATGGTCATTTCACTCATAAAAGAATTGAATTTACAGTTTCCACGTAATTTGTTGATTTTTTGAATTACCTCTGCTTTGCATTAATGCTAAATGTTTATCAGATTTTTTTAGTACTGATTCAAAATTAGCAAGCCAAAGTTGTATTAAAGTTCTAGTTTAAAAGTAGTTTTTATTCAGTATGGAAAGACAGTTATCAACAATTTCATGAGGTTGAATGGTAAATTTACTTACTGTACATGTATTTTGTAGTTACCAAATTCAAAAAGCAAGTTTTTTTCTTTAGTTGAAATTTTTTGATGTTTTTATCTGAATCCTTTGTTAGATAAAAAAGTGTATTTTATTGGCAACTGTGATATCTATGAAATACAAAATCAGGGGGGGGGAGTGTACATTGTAGAGCTGACTTAGTGTTATTTGTCTATTTATCACTCCAATTTACTCTGGTATACATCCTTCATAACTTGTTAGTGTTGTTATTTCCCTTCAAATGTTGAAATATTTTATACCATTGAATGTTTGGCTCAAAGAGTTGCAGCAAAGAATCTGAAGAAAATGTTTTATGTGATTTGGGGTTCTTTAGCTGGAAAGAGCTCTAAATTTTATCTGATGTCCTACAGAAAATCACTTGTTTGTATTTACCCTGGGTTCATTGTACCTTTTGTTTGTGAAATGTTGTACTTTTGAAGATTTTATCTCCTCGTTAGAATTAATATATTTAGTCATAGTAGCTCAATCAGTGGGGTAAAATCTTTTAAACTTGATATATATTTGTATATTTAGTTCATGTTTTGAAATTTGATTATTTGATCTTAATTTTTTTTTTCAACAAACTTCCCACAGATTCTCTTTACACAGTGCCCTGAATTAACTTGATCCATGTTTAACATCTATTATAATGCACTTGTATCTCTGGCCAATTAAGAAGAAAACAATCACTGTAAGAAGACACAATCAAGTTCAGATTTGAAAAGTATTAACAACAATGACTGTGCTTTAGATTAACATGTTAAATGACACAGATGATGTTATTTAGGTTGCATAAAAGCTAAGTAAGAGGAATAATGTTCTGTGAGTTTGTTTACTGCTTTTTACCTATAAGAGTAGCTGTATTTGACACTAAGCTCTCAGATATCACCTTCTAGACTGTGATACTGTTGAACCCTATGGTATTGTGAGAGTGAGTTCATGTGATAGTTTGTGTTATAATCAAACATTAGCGAGTCTGAACTTTCTATCTATGTTTGTATTTTTTGTCCCAGTTCTTTTACAAAGCTTTGTACTGAAATCTGATTTATTGATTATTATGCCCTTGATACTGAAGGTACACATGTTATTTTTGGTATGTTTTCTCCCTAATTGACTCTAACATTTTAAGATTGTGGTATATGATCTAAATATAAGCCAGGAACTTGGGTTTATTTCAGAAAATTTAAGAAAAATCTGCTAAATTTGGAGGAATTGTACTAACTTAATCCTCTTCTTGCTGATTAGCACATAAGGCCCGAATTGTGTTCAACAGTTACTTTGTAATCTGAATATAAGTTTTGGGAAAAAATAAACTTATGAAGTCTTTAGCTACAGATCTGTAGCTTGCTGCTCTGAAAAATTTGGATGGATGACCAGAGAGCTCTCATGCCACCCATAGAAAAACTTATTTATTGAGCACAAAAACTTATGCTTGATTTTTTGGGGGATTTAATTTCTCCAAATTCTGACCTCCAGTCTTTCAATATATTTTTTTGCAGAGCTACAGTTCTGCAGCTATGAAGTCTATAGTTTACAGTTGAACTTTTTTATCTGGAACATCAGTTTGTGTACATGTATTACAATGAAAACAGCATGATAGTAAGTAATCCTTGAAACACTGTATCTCAAAGTTTTAACAAAGTCTTGCAATGTTCAAGATAACAGGGTTTGAATTGATTTTTAAGGTTAAACAGAACAGTAGAAACACTGAACTTATGTTTGAACTCAGATATACTAGTAGATGTACCAGAATTTCATATTCATTGAGAATATTACCTACAAGTTTTCTTTCCCATTTGCACTGTCTTGACCTTTGTGTTACGTTTGTGTTTTACCCATATCATGCTATTTAGACACTCAATCATTTCATTGTTGTAAATAATTGACAGATGTTAAAAATAAATATTATCAAAAATAAAATAGTTCATGGAAGTTTTGTAAGGTTCAATGAAATATGTTTGTTGTCAAAATTTATCATACAACAGATGTTACAATGTAATTTTGATTTAGTAATGTTATACATTTACAGTTGAACTTTAAGATGTGGAACTCCATTATCTCATGGTCCTGTTGAAAATTAAGGCTTGGTTATTCTGTATACATGTACTTCTTAAAGACAGATTTTTATGTAACTAGTATTATTCAGAGAATCTTAGATGTTGCAGATTTTAGATATATAAAAAGGGAAACATGTTAAAAATTTGTAAAGAATGTGTTAATGAGAATTTTTAAGGGAGTGCATGCTTCCAAAGTACTTAGTATTTAATAATTAGTCACAATTCATTAATATGAAATCTGCAAAAAAATCTAGGTTTTTAGATTGAATAGAATATTTAATATGAATTTCCAAGTAAACAGGTAAAATGACTTTGAAGTAAATAGAGAGGGATTTACATGTTTGTTTGAGGAATCAGAGGGCGGTAAATTATTGATTTCTAGCTAGTTGCTGACTCTGGCATAATTATTCCAGTTTTAAATTGTTACCAGAATAATTAACTTTGAATGGCAGTTCCTAATTGATTGAGAAAATAGTTGGGT